ACATTCGACCTTGCTTGAATCGTTTTACATTCGACCTTGCTCGAATCGTTTTACATTCGACCTCGCTCGAATCATTTAATATTCGACCTTGCTGAATCGTTTTACATTCGACCTTGCTCGAATCGTTTTACATTCGACCTCGCTTGAATCATTTAACATCGATCTTGCTCGAATCGTTTTACATTCGACCTCGCTCGAATCATTCAACATTCGACCTTGCTCGAATCGTTTTACATTCGACCTCGCTCGAATCATTCAACATTCGACCTTGCTCGAATCTTTCAACATTCGACCTCGCTCAATTCATTTAACATTTGACCTTGCTCGAATCGTTTGACATTCAACCTCGCTCAAATTACTTTACATTCGACCTTGCTTAAATTGTTTTACATTCGACCTCGCTCGAATCATTTAATATTCGACCTTGCTGAATCGTTTTACATTCGACCTCGCTCGAATTACTTTACATTCGACCTTGCTCGAATCTCTTTACATTAGACCTCGCTCGAGTTACTTTACATTCGACCTCGCTTGAATTACTTTGTATTCAACCTCACTCGAGTTATTTTACACTCGACCTCGCTCGAGTTATTTTAAGATCTACGATCGACTACGCCAAAACACTACACGCAAGAGGCCAAAATATTCAGGGACTTCACCGCATAGCAAACAAAAAGACTGACAAATCCGAAAATACACAACAAAGGTAATCATTCCATTACAACTGTTATATTATAAAACGTTTTTACAAAGGGCCCGAAGACGCCCTCACAAAAATAGCAGGGCAAAACAAAAATAAGTACAACGGTCTTACGCCGTATCATCCCCATCAACGTACTCATCATTATACCAAGAATCAGAGGTGAGCATGTCCGTATCATCATCAACATCATTCCCGCAAGGCGTACCAGGGGCATAACCATAGGCTTCACGGGCCGCACGTGCTTTAACATGGACACCCTCGAGTTCTGCCTCGGAAACTTTCCCATCGGCCTTCAGGGACTTGTACAAGTCAAGTTGAGCCTTGGCATGAATCCACATCTTATACAACTCCCGCAGCACGATGAGATCGATAGAAGTATGAGACGTAGACGGCTGCAACTACCGTCGCACTTCCTCAGCCTTCAAGACAACAACCTATTCATTTAATCCGGACAGCTTCGCCTCCAGTTCCTGGATCCACTCTTCTAACCTCGCCACCTTAAGCGCTGACGTCTCTACCTCATTATCCCGCTCAGACCTACAAACACGGAAGGCATCATCTAAGGCCGCTACTTCGGATATGGCGGCCACCCTGCCTTTTTCGTCACGAGTCAATTCCTCGACCTTGACGCTCAACTCGCCCCTCAGATCGACAGCCTTCGTTTCCCTTTTTCCAAGCTCAGCAGTTAAAGAAGCCACCCACGCTTGAAGGTCGGCGTTCACGGCCATCACCCCTTGCTCACCTCGAGCTCATTCTCCTTGGCCTTAAGAGCCGCCTCAAGCTTGCTACATCGACTATGGCCTTCATCTGCTCATCATCCCGCTCCTTCAGCTCCTCAACTTTCCTCACCAACTCCTTCTCTTTCTGTTTGAGCCCGTTACGAAATAGCTGAAACTCGGTATCTTAGTTAAAGACGTCGGCCAACATTCGATGCTTGGTACGGTACTCTTTGTACTTAGAGGTCACCTTCTTAAAAATGACCGTCCTCTGCTCATCCCGCCGGTCACGCTCGGTCCCCATGATGAGAGTCTGACATGCAAAAGAAAGTCAGCATAAGAAGAGTACACATGCGAAACAAATCCTAACAGTAAAAAAAACACTTACTCGCAAATCTATGCCAGAAATACTCAGCGATAGCTCTGCATCACTCATCGCCTATAGCGCCATGTTCTCAAAAGCAGCGCATTAGGGGAAAAAGGACGGCACCACCCGTTCAGAGTTAGCTAAAAGGTCATAACCCACTGGAATGATTACGTGCCGGATAGGACTCTCCGTTCTTACTTCCACGCGGGTGTTTCTCTCCAAGAAAGCCCGCACCTCTTCAGGATCGATATCCAAGCCTAAACCATCGTCTTCTATGAGTACCGCTCCATCTCCTCCATCCATCGACGACGCGCCACCTTCTGCGGTCCGTAAAGGCTCCCCGCCTTCATGTACCCCCTCAGCGCTAGGGGATATCCCTACCATAATAGCATCCGCCATAAAAATAGTCCCTACGTCTGACGCAAGCGCAGACGCCGCTCCCGGGGCAATGATTTTCCTCGTTTTGACACTGGTGGCGACGGTCTTCCCAAGTTCCATTATTTGCCTCTTTCTTGATGGTGACTCATCTCCATTAGATGACTCATCTACAAGGTGGAAGATAGGCCGAGAAGAGATCTCATCCCGTACAGCAGCACTCTAAGGAGGAGAGTCCCTAGTTGACAGAGCTTGAGTACGACCTTAGCGGACGGACTCAGCCAAAGTAAATTGCGTCCCTACCGATGCAATAGGCTGGTGAAATGCCGGCACTAGAGCTTTCTTTTTGGAAGCCCGTAGACCTGTCACCATAAGGAGGTTGTATTAACAAACAACAACAAACAACAGAAGGCTGAAGCAAAAGTAACAGTTACTAGATGGGACCTTTGGTCCAAAACGTTTGTAGAAAACTGCCCAATCACGAATACTCGCCATGTGAGGTAACACGCGAGCTACCCAGTCTTTAATGCCGAAGACAGAGGAGGGTGAATGCCTTTCAGCTGAAAAACAAAGAAATCACAAATGAAAGAAAAACGAAAGGACGAAAAGAAGACAGCAAGCGTATGACAATAACACCTACAATTATGGTTCCACTGCTCGAGAAACCTAGTCGGGTCCGATACCAAGTGCTCAATTTTGATAAAGAAGTATTTATGCCAAAATTTTCGATTCGTCCTATCGTCCATTCCCACTATCAGCCCTCTGGTCCCGCAATGCCACAGGTGTATCATAGTGCCTCTGTAAAAATTTGGTGAAAACAAGTGTAATAGGTGGCGGATACCGACCTCACAACTGACCAACTCCACATACTTTATCAACATCAGGAAAGCTTTATACAAATACGGGGATAGTTGTGCCGAGCAGACGTTGTAAACCGGCAAAACTCCTCCGCTAGCAGAAGAAAAGGGAGAATATAACCAATTAAGAAAGGATAGACATAGAAGGCACAATACCCGGGTCGATGGACCTCTACAATGTCGCCACCAGCCGGTACTATCTCGACGTGAGAAGGGATATGATATGTAGATTGAAGCTTAGCTATATGAGACAACCCGGTCTCGGAGATCACTTGAACGGGAGCAGGAGCAGGTTCATTAGGAAAATCGCTTCTGGACAAGGAGTTTCTGGGGACTATCTCCTCCACGGTAGGAAAGCTCTCACCCTCTTCAACCACGAGATCCTCACCGCCGGAAGGAGGAGCCACCGACAACGGAGTGGCGTCAGAAATTTCATCGTGAATACAAAGGATTTGTGACATTTCGACGATAAAAGGTTTGCTACTAAACCTTAAGAAGGAGGTAATAACTAGATAAGGAGGAGAGATATGGAATCGTGAAAGCAAAGTCAAGAATAGAAACTGGCAAAGAAGATCGAAGGAGAACAGTGTTCATACAAGGAAAGGGATGGTGGAAACTTCTGAAAAACGAAACCCCCATCTATTTATAGGGCTGGATGGAGCAAAAATCGAGGTAAAGGATTATCAGCGGCACCAAAACCGAAGCGACAGGTACGCAGACGCTGTCTCGGGAAGGTGTGTAATGATGACACACGTAGCTATGACGTCATCCCATGGCAACCACACCAATCGTGACTCCACTGGTTGTGTCGTTCTCTCGATCTTGGTCGACCTGGTTTATTCAATAGCCAAATTCCTCTGAAACAAAGGGAAATCATGTCCGCTTATTGAGGGCGTGCAGAACCACGACCTCAACAAACGGAGGGACTAACTGTATAGGTCCAAATTTGACGACTCGGTGGTAACAGATAAATAAGACAAAGGACGGGGTCGATCATGGTGTAACGATTGAAGGTTGCTCTAAAAAAGGCTGGTGCCAAAAACAGGTAGCCGAGATAAAGAAATAACGACAGCATAGGTTCAGAGATAGACATAAAGAATATTCCTTTGGATATTCTTTATGCTGTACTGTAAGCACGTGATTTTTGCCCTATATGAGAATTACTCCCAAAAAATTCAAAATAAAATGNTACTTTTTAGGGTTTTTGGGAAATATCCCCTATAATTAGGAAGAGATAGAGAACAAAAAAGGATCTTCACTTTTTGATAAGAGTACATTGTAAAGGTTGACAAAATAGAATATACAAAAGTTATCTTGTTCACTGATTAACTTATTCAAGCACACGTTGTTCAAATCTTTGTTCACAAGATCCAAAGATTTCATATCCATCTTCACTTTTTACTTTTCCAACATGTCAATCATACAATAATTAGGTGGTAGATCCTTTCTTATTACATTTATTGTCATTATCTACATTTATCATATATTCATGCTATCATATTCACTATCAATCATCGAGTATTAAATTCGTTATTTAGTGCTCTTGAGGATTGTTCATTAATTGATTCAACAAAAAAGTTTAACACACTTTTTGCTCAAACACATGTGTGGATGTACGTTTCACTTATGAAGTAATTTTTTGTGCACTGGCAACATATAAATATCTTATAATATTAAATTATCTTAATCTAATACGAGCGATATGCCGTAGTTTGACAGTTATCACTTTTGTCTCTTTCGAACCTTACCTCAAATATTGACCGACCAAACACCACTAAATTTTTGTCCTTTTCCTCGGACAGTTGGCTGTCTCTTAACTACTGTTGTATGCCCTATGGTCCCTCCCCAAACTTAGCTGTAGTTTGCTGTAATCTAATGTGTAGATTCGCTCCTAATCTACTCTTTTCATTAAACAACGCGTTCTTGATAGCTGTACTTACTGTGTTTTGCTTCCCCATAATCCCTATATATAACTAGTTCTCTTCAGACGTTTTCATCACTCACTCTCTCAGTTCTCAACTCTTTCTTCTCCACAATTACCTAAAAAAATGGCTTCTTTCATTCAACTTTTAGTTATTTTTTCCCTTCTTCATCTCTCTTTGGCAACAAGGCAATTATCTGAGCCAACGAAAGACGAACAAGAAACTGAGATGTATAAGTTTCATTACCACAATGGCCCTCTTCTTACTGGTAAAATCTCCATTAACCTTATTTGGTATGGCAAGTTCAAGCCTACCCAACGTGCAATTATCTCAGATTTCATCACCTCCTTGTCTTCTTCCACTTCAAAAAGTGCAGCTGCTATCAACCAACCATCTGTTGCCACGTGGTGGGAAGCTACCGAGAAGTATTTCAGTTTACTAAAATCCAAGAAAGCTTCTCCTTTGTTCCTCTCGCTTGGTAACCAAATCTTGGACGAAAGCTATTCTTTAGGCAAATCTCTCAAAGATAAACACATCAAACAGTTAGCAGCTAAGGGTGATAAAAAGAACGCCATTAACATTGTGTTAACAGCCGCTGATGTGGCAGTTGAGGGGTTCTGCTCTAGCCGATGTGGGACACACGGATCTTCTTTAAGTTCCAAAAATACCCCTTCAAAGGGTAAGATTTATAAATTTGCATATATCTGGGTCGGTAATTCAGAGACTCAGTGTGCTGGTCAATGCGCCTGGCCATTTCACCAACCCATTTACGGACCACAGGCTCCAGCCTTAGTCGCACCCAACAACGATGTGGGCTCGGACGGTATGGTCATGAACTTGGCTAGCTTATTGGCTGGGACAGTAACGAACCCTTTTGGAAATGGTTACTATCAGGGACCAGCTGATGCACCATTAGAAGCTGCGTCAGCTTGCACTGGGGTTTATGGAAGTGGGGCCTACCCTGGCTATGCTGGCAATCTTTTGGTGGACCCTACTACTGGTGCTAGCTACAATGCGCATGGTGCTAATGGGAGGAAGTTCTTGCTCCCTGCATTATTCGACCCTTCTACGTCTTCATGTTCTACGTTGGTTTAAGAAGATCATTTCTTAATCAATTAGCAAGCTACTTACAAAGAGAGTTGTATTAGGGAAATCTAGATAATAGGATATTCTTTTATTCAAATTCATTCTTTTGTCTCGATTGATTAATAAAATTCCTGAAATTATTCTTACATGTTTTTCTATTATTTTATATAGCACAGTGGTATTATTGGTTACACTTTGTGTCATTTTACTTTCAATTTTTGACAAGATGAAGACCTTATTATCCTTGTAAAAAAAAAGAATTTTGTTATAAGAAGGAATATAGTTGAATGGGCGGTACTGTTCTAATTTTGTCCAATTTATTAACTTCAGCTGATAGCAAGAGCTAAATGCAGTTTGGGGATATATAACCCAAATTTGCTCAACTTCACCCGAAGAGTTAGAGATATATTTGCAATCGTAGTGGGAGGAGTTTTGTCTTCAAATTTGTTTGTTTATTGGTAACCAAATGAACGTGGGAAATATATTGCAATCAACATGACCAAATGGTAACAAGCAATAACTCGATATGAGTTTTAATAATGACTTCCAATGGCTACAATCAAATTGAGATATTCTACTATTATATAACGACTCACACTTAAAACTAACTCTTACTATTACGTTTAATTGTAAATCAAAATCCTCTAGTTAGTTTAGGTTTGAGAAGGAAAGGATATATATACTCTATGCCTTAGTCCTTATTAGACATAGTGCAGGCAAAATCCCCTCATTGGCTCCTACTTGAATATCTATAATCCCTCATAAAATTATCAAGAAAATAGTAATCCCCCGTAAAAATTCTAGATCACACTGCAGGTACAAATTATCCAACAATAGAGTGTGGCGAGATAAATACAAGCAAATGCAACGGGGCAATATACGGCAATATTGCGAATTAAAAAAGCAGTAAAAGTTATAGTTTGATGGAGCATTTCCCAAAGTTCTAACTAGTATGACGGTGCGTCGTAGCAAAAAAGTAGAGATACAAGGGTAAAGAAGTTAAGCTTAGCTTATACAATGCATAAATGAAGAGGAAAATTGTGAGTGAGAGCTGTGAGTCAGTAGTGTACGGGCGAGTTACACTATTAGTTACTGTCACGACCCATTTTCTGAACAAGCTTTGACCGTCACCTGGTATACGGGCGAGTTATAATATTAGTTACTGTCACGATTCATTTTCTGAACAAGTCGTGACCGTTACTCGGTCGCTAAATTTGATCGAGCGAACCATATGCGCTTATCAAAACTATTATAACCTCAAACTTTATATGCAACAAGATAATACTTTAACCAAATACTTTTAATTAATTTGAATGTCCAAAATAGACCAACTCCTAAACTTTATTCGTAGTAACTATTGAAATACTACAAAGTTATTATAAAAAAACACATGAATCTTTACCCACCGACTGTGTCTATGAAGCCTCTATTGATAAACTGACACACTGCTCAGGACATGAGATGTCCTGGCCAGTTCTCCAAGTAAACAAAGAAATAACTAAGTAATGACGACTCAAAGGAGTACTCCACGAACAAAAGCGGAGCTCACCAATAGCATTGGAAGTGAGGAAAGTCCTAACCCGTAGCCTGCTCGCCTGCAAAATCGGTCCCTATGTTGTGCGGCAGACCAACGCAGGTTCCCAAAAGAGAACGTCAGTACCCCCCATTGTACCCAGTGAGTCTCAATGATAGAGGACGAAACTTTAATAAAATATACTCCCTTCGTTTCAATTTATGTGAACCCATTTGACTGAGCACAAAGTTTAAGAAAAGAGAGAAGACTTTTGAACTTGTGGTGTAAAATGAGGCACATATATTTTGTGTGGCTATAAATCATTGCATAAAGGTAAATTGTTTCCAAATAAGGAAATGAGTCATTCTTTTTGGCACGGACCAAAAAGGAAATATGTTCACATAAATTAAAATAGAGGGAGTATATTACAAGAAAAGATTCTAAATGCATGGAAAACATAAAGCTTCTACGAACAATTCTAAAAAAATTGCATAACAACAGTTTATGAATATTCTAAAGGAAATTCTTTTCTTTTTCTTTCTTATCTAAAAAAATTACTTCACTTTATGCTTTGGGAGTTCCAACTATCCTGACTTATTTTTGTCTTAGTCACCGTGTGATCAGCACGGGTTCAATCCCAGCCTGATCGAATAGGTCCAATCCACGAGGTGCCACTCGCTTCATGATTCTCAGCGCTCATGTATCATACCTTAGCCTGGCTAGGCAAAATCTCAGCAACGTGCCCCTTGGCTCGTGTGCTTCCTACTTTGGTACAAGTAGTTTCAGGAAGTCAACGCCTTGGTCAGGACCCTCGGCCTGGACGATGACCCCTTCTTAGAATAGAGGACTCCCAAAAAATTTATCTTCTAAAACTTCCTCTTGTGACTTTCCAAGTCTAAATCTTGTTTGAAAGTGATCTATCAGTATTCATAATAATATTTTTGAGTGTATGCATAATTTAAGCATGAAATACAATTACTCAAAGTATTTTTAAAAGTTCTATCTAACTCTTGAAACTTTAACATGTAAGATCATGTAATAAAGCATAAAACTATGGAAAATAGACGATTATGCTTCTCGAGAAAAATATATAAGTTTTAACTAGAATATACTTAGTCAACATGTATTCACTCATTCCAATTAAGCACATGTTAACTCTTTAAAATATTTTATCAAACACTTCGTGGGCGTGTTTTTGTGAGTAGAACTACTTTAGTAAATGGTTATATCCACTAACCTCAAAACTTCTCGAGCCAATACATAGGTTCCAGTCCAACTTATACCCGTCAACCAATCGATTCTACAACAACCAATGCATTTAATTAATTTTAAAGTTTTACACTTGACCATTGAACTTACCGTTGATATAGAGAAAGAAGAGAATTAACTATTTAATTCTTATACTGTAAAATAATTAAGAATAAATTTTATATAGTTGAATTAAAGAATTAGTGATTTGTAAAAAAACTTAGAATTTTCGTTGTGTGCGTGAATAGTTGGCTGACTTGCTGCCTCTATTTCTTGAGCATACAGAATGTCCACTTCTGTTTTCCTAGAAGGCTTTTACGCCTTTAGCTTGCGAAGAGCACTTTAAGGGATTTAGGCTTGTCACGTGGTCTCCGGTTTTTATTTCCTTTTTTTATTTTTTGACTTAATTAGTATTTAATTATATCTACTATTAATAATTAATAATACTAAAATTATTAATATTTTTCTAACTCTATATCTAATTATTTATAAATAGAAAAGTAACTCAAAAGTCAATCACAAAGGTTTAAATCCATAATATAAATATAACCTTTATGCACTCAAGGCAAGATAAAAAAAATTCTATATATAGCGTGTGTTGAGACTTTTATAGATTTGAGAAGTGTTACTATCTTCCCTCCTTAAAAATATTCGTGCTCCAATGTTGCTAGGGACTTATTCTTAAGCTAACAATTATTCCTTAAGTCTCTGAACTTTTAAGTTTTCTTAGCACTACTCACTTTCCCAAGGGACTCAAAATTTTGGCTAACTCCCTAAATTTTTAAAAATTTCGGCAGAGTCTCCCCAGTAAATTGGACTATCCAAAAAAATATACCTGTCACCAATACTACAACTATACCAACAGCAACAAAATATACCATAGTAGGCCTTCATAGGCACCATACACATCTCATAAACTAATTACTCACACTCCGACAAGGAGGTACCACAATAACCAACCAAAATCTAAAGCACAACATTTCAGCAAAAAGTAAATAACTTTAATGAATTAAATGTACTTTGTCATGGTACTAAATTATTTAATAACTAAATATACTCTGACAGAAACTAAATTATTTCAACAACTAAGTATAATCTAGCAAGGACATAAACATATGCTAACTTGTATTTAATAAATGAAATATAAATGCCAAGCCAAACCTAGGTTCACATACCTTGTTCCTCAAATTAATAAGGATACTTCTTCCTCATATCTTCCTCCCACATAGTCTCTTTTGAATCATGATTACTCCGCATAACTTTTACCGATGCTATATCTTTTGTTCTCAACTTTCTTACTTGCCTATCAAGAATTTCTATAGGTGCCTCTTCATAAGTCAAGCCTTATTTAATTTCTATCGTATCGGCAGGTATTATATGCGACTCATCATGAATGTACGTTCTAAGCATAGACACATAAAAGACAGGATGAACAGAGGACAATTCAACGGGCAACGCTAGTTCATAAGCCACTTTTCCCTCCTTTTCTATAATCTCATAAGGCGCGATAAACCTAGGACTAAGTTTCAATTTCTTACCGAATCTCATAACTCCTTTCATTGGTGAAACTTTCAAAAACACCTTATCACCAACCATGAACTCTAAGTCACGATGTCTCTTGTCAGAATAGGACTTGTGACAACTCTGAGCCGCTTTCAGTCTTTCTCTAATTAGTTCGACTTTCTCTAAGGCCTCTCAAACAAACTCTAGACTAATCAACGACACCTCTGCTGATTCAAACCAATCCACTGGAGACCTACATCTTCGCCCATACGACGCTTAAAAAGGAGTCATATTAATGTTGACTTGATGGCTGTTATTGTAAGCCAATTCCATAAGTGTCTGAATGGTCCTTTCTACCTCCAAAATCTATAACACATGCACGCAACATATATTCAAGAGTCTGAATGGTCCTTTCTGCCTGACCATCGGTATGTGGATGGAAAGCGATGCTCAAGTTGACCTTGGTACCTAATCTTTTCTAAAATGCCAACCAAAAATGTGCCTTGAACTGAGAGCCTCTGTCAGATATGATTGAAACTGGAGTGCCATGTAATCAGACTATTTCTTTGATGTAAAACTGCACATACTGATCTGCGGAATCTGTTGTCTTTATTGGTTGGAAATGGGCGAACTTTTGTAATGACCCAGCCGGACGTTTTAAGAATTAACGCCCGATCCCCTATTAACCGCCTTTCCCGTGTTTGTTTCTGCTATTTTTGATTTGCCGAGATGCTTGGCTTTGAGTTTCGGAGAGTTTTGGGACACTTAGTCCCTAAATGAGAGCTTAAATTTTGAAAATTTGACCATACTCGAAACAGTGTGAAGACGGCCTCAAAATGGAATTCTGATGATTCAGTTAACTCCGCTGGGTGATTTCGAGTTTAGGAGCGTGTTCGGATTGTGTTATGGAGGGACGTAGCTAATTTGGGCTTGAAATGCCGAAAGTTGAGTTTTTGGAAGTTTTCGGTTAGATAGTGAGATTTTGATCCGAGGGTCGGAATGAAATTACGGAAGTTGGAGTAGCTCCGTAATGTTGAATGTGACGTGTGTGCAAAATTTCAGGTCATTCGGACGAGGTTTGATAGACTTTTTAATCAAAAGCGTAAATTGGGAGTTTTGGAGTTCTTACGCTTGAATCCGTGTTTATTCGTCGTTTAGATGTTGTTTTAGGTGTTTTATGGATTGGTATAAGTTTGGACAGTGGTATTAGACTTGTTTGTGCTTTTGGTTGAGGTCCTGGGGGCCTCGGGATGGTTTCGGAAGATTGTCAGAAGAATTGAGAGTTTGTTTGAGCAGCTTCAGCTGTTGATCTTCTGTCATAACCGCACCTGCGGTTGGGTCCCGCAGGTGTGTAACCGCAGAAGTGGTGGTATCATCACAGAAGCGAAAAGGGGAGAGCCAGCAGGAGCCGCAGAAGCGGGAGCTTCACCGCAGATGCGGTACGGGAAACCGCAGGTGTTGAAGCTGGACTTTAGTGAATTGTCGCAGATGCGACTTTTGTTCCACAAAAGTGGGACCGCAGGTGCGGTCCCATGACCGCAGAAGTGGATTAGCTGGGCAGAACATATAAATAGTTGCCTTCGCGAATTTGAGTTATATTTCACCTCTTTTCAAACGGGAAGAAGCCTTAGGGAGCATTTTTAAGGGAGATTTTCAGAGGAATTCATTGGGGTAAGGTCTTTGGTCCTTAAAATCGTTATTGAGGTGATTTTTATTATTGTAAGCATGAAAATTTAAGGAAAATCAGTGGTAAATTGGGGGTTAGGGCTTGATTATTTAGAGACTTTTGAGTGATGATTTGAGGGACTATTTGAGGTCCGATTTTGGTACTTTTGGTATTACTAAACTCGTGAGAGTGTGAGGTTTCTGAAAATATAAATGTTACCCGATTTTGAGATGTGGGCCCGAGGGGTATTTTGGTCATTTTACCTAATTTCGCGTATTATCTATGAATATTTTTGTGGAATCAGTTATTTGAAGTGTTATTTACATTATGCAATTGAAGTGAATAGATTTGGGCCATTTGGAGTCGAGTACTCGTGGCAAGAACGTGGTTTCGGGTTGACTTTGAGCTGGTTCGAGGTAAGTGGCTTGCCTAACCTTGTGTGGGGGACCTTCCTTAGGATTTAGTATTATTGATAATTGAAATGCCTTGTACGTGAGGTGACGAGTGCGTACTTGTGCTAATTGTTGAAAATCCGGTTTTTATTAAGTAACTACTAGTATGTTTCTCTTACTGTTTATACTACTTACGATTTAAGCCTTTTGTTAGCTTAGGAAAGCATGTCTAATTGACTTAATTGCCTTACTTGCTCAAATTGCCTTATTTGAATTACGTGCAATATG